CATTTTATTGTTCTCATTACAACAAAATTGTTTTCATTATATTAATCCTAATTACGATTTTATACATTGTACAAAAACAAATTCATAAATATAATCAATTTAATTGAATTTCGTGAAAATATTCGTGACTGCGTGATTGCATCTATGATTATAGTATTGTATCAAACAAAACAAAACAAAATTCTTTCGTCATAAATGTTATACGGCGAAGAAATAAAATCTAACAGAGGTATAGGAAATAAATAAAAAGACATGAATTCTTATGGTAAGCTATTATTACATCGAATAAAATGGAGTACAACGATAATGATTGAAAAGTGATATGACAATGTAACAACATCGAAGTTACTCCCGTATGAGAATTGTGAGAACTTGAAAGTGGAGAAAAATCAAATAAAAATAGGAAATAAAAGAACTGTACCCACAACCATCACCCATTCTCCCCCTTCCCCCTCCCCCTCACCCCCTTTAGCCTTGCCTTTCATTCTTCCTTCTTTTTTTTCCTCCTACTTGAGAAACCATGCAAGCTAACTCGTATCGTGCTTGTCGGTTGCAACAGAAGTAAAATAAAAGGGCAAAAGGGAAATGTAATTTCTCTCTCTCTCTCTCTCTCTCTATCTCTCTCTCTCTCTATCTCTATCTCTATCTCTCTCACACATACACACACTCTCTCACTCTCTTTCTCTTTTTCTTTCTTTCAGTCTTTTGTCCACTTTTTCACGATGCCTAGCACGTACACACGATACACGACTGGTACCAAGAGTAAGAAAGAAAACTGAGAGAAAGAGAGAGAGAGAGAGAGAGAGAGAAAGAAAGAAAGAAGATTGGAAAGAGATGGGAAAAGGAACAATAGGGGAAATGGGTGGGTGATTTAGGGTAGGTACCAAAGGTATTCTGAAAGGGGGGAGGGAAAGGTATGGGCTGAGTTGACTGGGTGATGTCGGTCGGACCGCAGTTTGTTGAAAAAGAAAGAGAAGAAAAGGAAGAAAGAATGAAGGGGTAAAAGAGAGAGAAAAGGAATGACGTGTGTAACAGAATTGTATTGCATTGGCCACACGAAAGGCCAACCTATAGTGTTTTTTTATTTTTTTTTGTTTTCTCTCTCTCTCTCTTTCAGATGGTGGGAAGGGGGAAGGGGTCCCCCTGTCCACCGACCAACAGAAAAAACTAGAAATACGAAAGGAATTATCTTGGAAAGGGTAACGGTATGAAAGAAAAAGTAAAAGAAATCAAGCAACCAAGAGAAGAAGAAAAAGAGAAAGGAAGACAAAAAATAGAAAGAGAAGAAGAAAATAGTTGCGTGACTGTTGCGTTGCACTTTCTTACGTAAAAGGAAATAAAAGCCAGCTCGTTTGAGCTCTAACTTGTACGTGCCCTAACACTTTCCTGTCTCTCTCTGTCTACTATGTATCCATCTTATTTTTATCGTTATTACTATTACTATTATTATTATTATTATTATTATAGGAAATGGGAAATGGTGGAAATAATTGAAAAGAAGATTATCGAAAGAAACGATCCCATTCGATGAGACACTCAACCACTATCACTATCTTTTCTATGTATTCCCTCGTATAATATTCCTATATCTTCTGTTTTTTTTTCTCCCAAATATAAAATAAAACAAATAAAAAAAAATTGTTTGTGAAATGAATTATCCCCAGGAAATTTCTTTCACGTATTATCTTTTTGTTATCGTATTGTGGTCAATGAAATTATCTCGTACATCGATCATCTTTTTCTATTCTCACACACTACGCTCCCACGCATATAGGACTGTGCGCGCATGTACATGTGTATGTGTTCTGTTAAATACACAAACATGTTGGATTACGTACGTGGTACGACCACGTGATAAACCAACATCATTCGTTCACACATCGCTCATCCCGTGTCCCCCCTATTTCCCACCACACCTCCCCGCTCACCTCTTCCCCTTTTTCCGTCTACTCTCTTCTAGGTCTAATTCTGTTCTCTCTTCTCTCCTCTCCCGAAGCATCGTTATTGCACGCATCGCAAATCCGTTCGTGGGAATTCATTCGTGATTCTTGATCACAAGCACTCGTCATCCGTTTACTGTAATCCCCTCGTTATTAGAAAATCGAAGATTTTAACGAGGATGGAAAGTTTTCTTTGGTTATCCCTAAACGATTATCGATCGATCATTATAATTCAATTGACAATAATTATTTCCAGAACTTTTAATTAATTATTATAATATATATATATATAATTAATACATATATATATATATAAATACAGGGGGAAGGTGTCCTACATAACTCTAGTCACGATTTTTCAAGTACTTGCGATAACCTGACAAAAAAATACTTTAAGGGGTTACATGGGTTTGGGGCTTTCAAAAAAATCAATTTTTTTTTTTTAAATTCTACAACTTATCTAGAATATTGTATTTAATTTTGAAGTAGATAGGAGTAATAGTTTAAAGGATAGAGCCTTGGAAGTTCCCCTCTTAAATGGCTCTTTTATCAGCACTCAAAACTTTAAACGCGTTTTTCTCAAAATGCTTTTTCTAAAGTCAGTTGTCAAGATTTCTCGAAAACTATTTAACCGATCTTAATGAAATTTGCTACACGTCTTCGAGACACTATTGACAAGGACTTGGACGAAGGATTTTTTTTTTTTTCATCAAATCGAATTTTAAGAAACCAAAATGTGGTGCAAATTGTAGCGAAATTTGAATGTTCTTGCTAAAAACGTTGTCAAAAATCCAAATTTCAATTATTTTTTTTTTCCTTCGTCCAATTTCTAGTTTCAAGTATTCACTAAAAGACCCTATTTTTTCCACTGAAAAACCCCCACCGTTTATGAGTTCTGCTGTCAACGCGAAAACACTTTTTTTCGGTGGGGTCACCGGAAATAACGTCGCAATGGCTGAGTTTAAAATATTTTTCAACCAAAACTTCAGAAAATGTTCTTTAAATATGTATCTTAAATGCTATAAAAAGTTTGAATAAGAATTCCATTTTTTATATCGAAAAAAAAAATTGTTGAAAATATGCTATTTTTTCCCGGTGTAAACCCATGTAACCCCTTAAACGAACGTTGATTTGTTTTCGATTGACTATACATTGCAATAAAATGATTTGAAAATGAAATTGAATGATTTTGTTGTTGTTGTTGTTGTTGTTTTTCAGGAAAATGATACCATTCGTTTTCGTGTAACGTTGGAAGACGAAGTACCAGACGGACAACAACCAAATATAGTTGGAGTAGATGCTTATGTGATAGTACTCGACGAAAACGATAATCCACCGCATTTCCTCGGCGTACCGTATGAAGCTGTTGCAGAAGAGGACTTGCCTGTGGGTTCCACGGTTCTTCCGGGTATCAGGGTCATGGACCCCGATCTTCTCGGTGACAACATCGAATTAACGTGTGTCCCACAACCTCAAGTAAGATTTAATGTCCTACTTATATATTCTAATCCAAACAAGAGAGAGAGAACGAGATCAAATAAATCATGTTCGTTAATTTAAAATGATTCAAAAAGTTTCAAAATTTATTTAAAATGATTCACGAGTCTAGGGTGAAATTTATCAATGATTTTGTTTTATTATGATAAAACGTTTAAATACAAAATTAGTACGTATCTATATTTGAATGTGTTAGTCGATAAAATATCGTTGATCAAATTTGTATGTATCTTTGATAAAGTTAATCAACAATTTGAGAATTGATAATGTATCTGTGATGAAATTAATCAATGATTTGTTCCGATGAAATGTCATTGATCAAATTTGTACGCATCTATGAAAGAGTTATCAACGATTTTTTAAGTCGTTTGGCATCTATGAAAAAGATAAATCAATGATTTGTTACAATGAGAAATCATTGACTTAACTTTATCGTAGATACATACAAATAATCTCAACGATTAATTAAATTATTAAGAGATCATTTTTGTCTTACTTTTTATTTTTATCGAAATATTTTCATAGGAACGTATAAATAAATAATAATCAAGAAATATTTCTTTGGGTTTATGTTTAATCAAGTAGATTGATAGAAAGAATAAGAGGTGGGGAGGGTAGGATCGTGCAATAGGTGGGGAAGAAGGTGGTTGGTTGCAATGCATTATTAGCAAAAGCCTTGGTGCTTCCGTTTCTCCTCCTGAGTCAAACGTGTTCCATGGAGATTCCCTATTCTGGACTAGCATGAAAGATGTATCAGTGTGCCCTGCTGGTATATTCAGTAGCTCACGTAAATGAAGAACCGGCGGCTTGGTGGATGAGGTGTTCTAGCATGCACGTAACGAGATAGAGAAAGAGTAAGAGAAAGAGAGTGAACAAGAGAGAGAGATGGTAGATGCTCAGGGCGCTTTGTAATTCACAGTTTTCCATTAAATTATCCACGCCTCTCATAGTTCTAATAAGTTCCCTACATCCAACTATTCCTATAGTACGAGAAGCAGTAATAGTAATAGTAGTAGTTGTAGTAGTAGTAGTAGTAGTAAGTTGTAGTAGTAGTAGAAGCTTCTAACCGAAGAGGAAAACGCGAACGAACCGGGCAGCTAGAAAATTGCGGTTACAACCTTCGCGATACGTGGATTTTCCCTGGATGAGAAATTTTCTGACGATTCATTTCCAATTCGTTGCCTTCTTGTATCAACAATATTAACGAATCTTTTTGTTTTTTTTTTTCTGTATGGAAAAAAATTTACAAAATAATTTCGATTGTTTTTTATTTGTAAAAATACATAATATTTATTTTTACGCGAGTATTTTTAATATATCTTGGATGAAAGGATTAAAAAAAAAAAAGAAAAATGAAGAAAGAAATAATTCCCGTTTTAAAATGATGGTTGGGCGGGGAAGAAGGGGAAGGGGTTGAGTAAACACAGGTGATAAGAAAATTCTTTTAAATAAAATTCGTAATAAAATTCGTATTATCTATATATAACACCCGAGATTCGTTCCCGTTCTAGAGTACCGTAAAACTTGCTCGTGAAAGATGCGAAGAACGGGGTGAAGAGGGGGATGAAGGGGGTGGTGGGATATTAGTAGGTATAACGCGTCGGCTACTACGTCATATTCGCTCGATAAATTCCACGTGCCGTTGGCCGGCAGACCAATAAAACTGTAAAACCTTTTAACTAATGGCTCAGCCAGCTTTACGACAGCAAACTTTAATGCCTCTCCTATCTCCTCTCTCTCTCTCTCTCTCACTCACTGTTCTTTTTTTTTTCCTAGTCATACATAGTAAACGAATCCCCCGACCGTTTAACGCACAGTAGTTCATGTTGATTATGCGTTATTAATGGGGGTAGTAGGATACGCACGTAATCAATTTTGTGTTGGTGTTGTTTTTCTTTCTTGTTTGTTTTTTTTTTGTTGTTTTTTAAATCGCAACACGTGGCCTCGCTATCATTCGTCCTTTCTTCTTTTTCTCTTTATTTTCTTTTCTTTATATTTCCCGTTTGGGAAGATAAAATAATGCATCTGTGTTTTATTAACATGACACACACGCACACACACAGTGTGTGTAATAGTAATAGTAATAGCCAGAAACATAATGTTCCACGTGTTGTATTGTTTTTGTCTCCTGTATTCATACACATACTTTTGTTTTCTCTTTAGAATTAACGAACGAGGTAGTAATTTGTATGAGGGGTGGGAGAAAAGAGGGGAAATGTAATAATATGCAGGAGATAATTATTAAAAAAAAAAAGAAAATAAAAATAAACACGAGGATAAGTGTCGTATCGTTAAATATAATTATCGTCAATGTAATTATAATATAATAATTATGCGTTATCATGATCGTAATAATATATTATATTATGTTACAGTTTCTTGATGCTTGCCAAAAGTTTGGTATCGTCAACGTTGAAAAAAGCCAGAATACGTACGTCGGCGCTCTGGTTCTAAGACAACCACTAGACTACAGAGAGAGGCCCTTCTACCAGCTACTTCTAAGGGCTAGCGTGAGTAGAGCTTGAAAATTGATTTTAATTATGAGCCTGGTATTATAGCTCTTCCCTATTTATATTGCGTCCTGGAGAATAAATCTAACGAACGAACGAACGAACGAGAGAGAAAGAGAGAAGAGAGAGGATGGTAGAGAATTATATACCGGGTGAAGTATTTTAAACTCTTCATCGATAAAAAATATTTCACTCGATTTTGATATCCAACTTGGTGTGTTAACTTTTTAGTATTCGCCATTTCTTTTTATTTCCACAATTTTATTGTTATTAAATAAAAATCTGCACAAATTTATCAATTCTCTAATTAGGATTTCTCTAATGATTGTTCGATCTTTTTTATTAGATATTTTGTTCTTTCTTTTACAACCTCAATTAAAAATTAACAACAGTTTTTTTGTCGAAATGAATTTAAAAGAAAAAGTATACTTATAAATTTAATATATTATTTTGAAGAACTTATTTTAAGAAGTAATATTGTATAGGTGTACAGTAAAGCTTTGAATAAAAATATACCAAGAAACAAAAAATTATTTGGGCAGTACTAGTTTAAATAAATATAATTATTCTAATGATCAAAAATAGGTGATAATTTGAGTGTCGATTATTATCAATAATAGTCAATGTAAATGTAAGCTCACTGTAAGTGTATCAACGTCCTATTAAATATTACATTTATGATATATCATTTTATTTAAAAGAAAAGAAAAAATGAAGTTGGCTTTCATATATCTTCTATTTGTTTGTTTAGCAAAAAACTGATTAACGTGAAATTACGGTACCTTTGAAACCACTTAAGTTTCTCCCATGACACCATATTGTTCTATCACAAAATAATAATCGAGTTATTCCGGTAGCTTGGTTTAAATAGTTCACCCGGTATATATGTATAGATTATCTAGTTACATCGTAATAGTGTCTAGTTAAAGTCTATGTATAGATAGTCGCACTTTACACATTACATTCTCTTCTCTCTTTATACCCTATAAACAAAAGTCCTATCGATCATGTCATAAATTACATGAGAAAGATAAAAATTATATTGAAATATAAAAAAAACTATATATGTGTGTGTGTGTGTGTGTGTGTGTGTGTGTGGGCGTGAATAAAATTAAAATAAATTAATGACTTTTTTTCAAAAGCTCACGTAATTATATGCACATCAAATATTTCGATGGGCTAACACGAGATATATGGGTCATATAGGGTACTCGTGCTATTCATTTTTTTCCATCTAATTGTACCCTCGTGTAACGAATAAAAAAAAGAAAGAAAGTAAAATCTCCTGACGTCCAATTAAAAATTACGTGTCAATACGTTCGACAAAATTCATGTGGTTTTTTTTTTTGAAGTGAATTATTTCATTATATTAAATCGATATGAGACGATCAAGTAGTACTTGATCATTAATGAAATTTTAATTGAAATTATTATAAAAATTGTTTGTCCTAATTTTTTTTATCAATTATTTAACAATACGTATAAGAAATATAGAATGTTCTAACCCTTTAAAATGTTTTTTTTTTAATAAAATCTCTACGACTTCTAGTTTCATATATATTTTCATGCATATATAAGATATTGTTATAAATAATTACTTTGTTTATTAATTGTTACGTTATTTTTATAAATTGTTAGTAATTTCAATTTCTTTCCTCTGTGTACGAAATAAGATGAATTTAATTCGAAAAGATTTGTTTGCAACAATTTGTTTATTATATATTGTTTATTAATTATTAACAATAGGAGTAAAAAAAATAGATGAAAGTTTTCCCTTTGAAATGATATATTGTTCAATTTTCTACGATTTTTAGTTTCTTAAAATTTCTCATTGAAAATGTAAGACTTTACGTTGACCCACTGACCTACATAATTTCATTCAATTACTCATTGAGTTATTGACCTGTTACTATTACTATTACTATTACTACGATTAGCTGTAGTAATAGAATTATGAATGAAAAACTCTAAAAAGCAATATCTTTTGAACGGGAAATCGTAGAGACATGAAACTAAAACCATTTTCAAATAAAAATGATCCTCTGTTTATTTATACGTAACAACAATATTGTTATAATAAAATCGAATTTGTTTAATAATTTTTTAAACCAAGAAAAAAACATTTATTTTCCATCAAAAAGATACAATTACAATGAAATCATACGAATGTCTATTGGAATGATATCAATTTGATTTGCTTTATTATAATAAATAATAAAAAAATAAATTAAAAAAAATGTAATTAAATTCGCGTCGCGTCGAGTTACACACTCGACGTAGATTTCTTTTTAGAATTAAGATCATCTTACTCATTGTTTTTAATATTAAAATTTTATTAGACAATCAAAAAATCCCCGATGTGAAACATCATATATCTGTAGTTCTACGAATAAAAAAAATTCGTGCAATTAAAATAGATCGCGAAAGAGGACACGTTTTAAAAGTCGTCTAACCCAGATATTTCAACTTCTTCATTCGATTGAACGTTCTTTCTTTTTTTAATTTGGTTGTCACAGGATGGCTTGAACAATGGGACGACTGGCGTTGAGATAAAAGTCGCAGACATTCAGAACAGCCCACCGGAATTTCTCGACTCGTTAACTGGGATAGTTCGTGAGGACGATCTCATTGGGACTTTAGTGATGACAGTTAAAGCAAGAGACGGTGACAGGGGGATGCCAAGAAAAATGTTTTACGAATTGGTCACCAGTGAGTCAATCATTCGAATTCATAATAATAATAATAATAATAATAATGTACATACGAGTTTTTGCATGAAGGACCCGTATATGGGTCGCTAATAACCAAAAGGTTTAACACTGTTTCAAAATAACGCTTAACAAAAAAGATTATATGTATATTAGGATGAACCAAAAGTTTTTTTTTTTTAATGTTTTTAAAGTAAATTTTACAAAAACAATCCATTATGCAGTTTCCAAGTAAAGTTTCAACAAAATGAACTCACGAACTTTTGGTTCATCCTAATATATATATATATATATATATATATATATGATTATTGTTTGATTTTCTTATATAGATCCATTCGATTACTTTTTACTCGACGACGATACGGGCGAATTGAGAACAGCTAAACCATTAGATAGAGAAGCATTGAAAGATTCAACGGGAGTGTTAACATTAAAAGTGAGAGCTCGTGAGTTAATAGATGGTATACCAGGTAACGATGAGTTGACAGTTTCAACAGCAGAAGCCACTGTCACGATCAAGGATGTCAATGACGAAGTACCGACGTTCAATAGACGTGAATACAATATCGAAATTCCTGAGAATGTACCGGATGGTACACCGTTACCTCACTTAGACATGACTGTTAAAGACCCGGACGTTGTAAGTAGAAATTCAATGAACTCTAAAAACGTTTCTAATGAAATAATACATCTCATCTATTTTATATTTTGATCACATCTTTTTTTCCGGGTAGGGTTTGAATTCCGTATTTTCTTTACGTTTGGAAGACATAACTGGTGCATTTACGGTAGAACCAGCTATGGCTACCGGAAGTACTTCAGTAAATATTCGCGTAACCAACGGTTCATTAGATTATGAGAATCCCAATCAAAGAAAATTCATCATATTGGTAATTTTAATGAATTTCTTTTAATATTCTAATAATTGTCATTAAATTTTGATCATTTTCTCATTCATTTATTTCCATTGTTAGGTCGTTGCCGAGGAAGTACATACGAATCCTAAGCTTGTATCTACAGCAACAGTTACAGTAACAATAACTGATGCAAACGACAATGCACCTTCTTTTAGCAGTCCAACTTATACAGCATTGGTCTCGGAAACTGCTCTTCCAGATTCACCGGTAATTACGATCACTGCCAAGGATCGTGATAGTGGAAAGTAAGTTGAATAAATAATAAATAGAAAAAAACAAAAAAAACAAAGAAAAAAGTTGGATCATTGACAGGAAAGAATTTTGATTCGATGATTTGATATTCAACAGATTTGGTACATCTGGTATAGTTTATCAATTACTTGGACAAGGCTCAGAACATTTTTCTGTTGGCAAGAAAACTGGTGCCATCACTGTTGCATATTGTCCAAATCCTGGCACATCACCTTGCTTAGATTACGAGGAACAAACTGAATATTTTCTCACATACAAGGTATGATACAATTTACTATATAACGAAAAGAAAAGAAATACGTTATTTTTAATAAATATTTCATTAAAAGGCAACCGATGACAATGGCGAAGGTCAGACAACGAGCGTATCCCTTCGTGTTAGTTTAGCAGATGCTAATGATAGTCCACCGCGTTTCCTTCAAGAAAGATATCGTGCAGTGGTGGACGAGGGTGCTGAAAAATTTGAACCAGAATTGAAGGTCCAAGCGCGGGACAAGGACAAGACATCAAAGATTGTTTATAGTTTGATCGGCGGAAACAAATTAGATTTGTTCGAGATCGATCAGGATACCGGTGAAATAAAAAATAAGGGTCCAGTCGATATGACGAATTCAACTCACGATTGGATAGCCCTCGTCGTGCAAGCGAGCGACGGTTTATTCGTTGACACTGCTCTGGTCAATATCACCGTACGTGACGTGAATAATAATGCACCGGTATTTCCTCACGACTTATATACTGCCAGTATACCTGAAATTTCACCGGTCGGTTAGTATCCTGCGATTTTATGGATGCTTTTCTTCGATATCACATATGTTACATCAAATTTTATCTATTTTATTTTACAATTGTATGCATTACAACAAAAAAAACCATCTCCAAAATTTATATACGTTAAAAATCGTATTTAACGCTAAACGTATTAACGATAGGATCAAATGAGATCTGTTGTCAAATTTTTTATAGTATCATTTGATAAATCGAGAATTGCATAAATGGTATATTTTTTATTATACATACATCTGTAAAATGTATAATTTTTGATTAAATTATTAATTTATCTTTAACACACGTTCCATGTCAAGTGTACCGTTTTATTGTAGATACACATGGCGTAATAATGACACTTACAATTAATCGAATACAACACGGCATGGTAACATGATTAAAGAATCTTCATTTTAACAATTATAATTTTTATTAATAATATTATAGGTACCATCGTTGAAGAGGTACTAGCAACAGATGCTGATAGTGATCTCAATGCTGAATTAGTTTATAGAATACAAAAAGGAGCCTTTGATGATTTTGCTATTAACGAGACGACAGGTGTTGTTACGGTGTCGAGAAAATTAGATTTTGACGATAAGGATACTTATCATGTTGAAGTAATAGCCTTTGATAAAGGTGAAGATTTTGTTTTTATTTTATTTATCTATGCAAATTGTTGAACCAATTTGTTTATATTATTTTTCCTTTGTACATTTTTAGGAACTCCAAGTTTAACAGGAACGACAACACTAATGATCAAAGTTGAAAATAGCAATGACAAGCCACCATACTTTACACCTGAAACTCAACGAGCTGAAGTAACAGAAGATACACCGATTGGCACCGTTTTTACCACGTTAAGGGCTACTGACCCGGATAGCGAAAATTCAGAAGCTTTGAACTTTGCCATTTCTGAACCGATTACGGCGATCGATAGGAATGGTCAACAAGTTAACGATAGCAAATCATTTAAAGTATGTTAATAAAACAATGTAACTTCTATTAAAAAACAAAAAAAAATTTTTTGCATTGCAATAACGTTTAAATTATTTTTTATACATTTTTTTAGGACTTCTTTGCTGTTGATAGAACAACAGGACAAGTTTCAGTTGTCAGACCATTGGATCGAGATGTTGCAGCAACCGTCAGCGTTACTATAGTTGTTAGCGATACTACTGCACCTACTTTACAACAAGGGAGAGGTAGATTATTATTATTATTATTTGTGTTATTATTTGGTATACTTTGTCAGCACAATTGTGATGTATGTTTTGTGTTACTCACGTATAGGTACCTTGATAATCACTATAATAGACGTGAATCATGTTGCACCAGAATTTTTAAAACCCTGGACTAGAAATAATCCAAGATATTTAATCGAAATGCAGGAAGAACAACCAACCGGTGCAGTCGTAGGTGCATTCACTGCAACCGACGTTGACAGTAACATAGCAGGATACGCGATTGAACCACCAAGTCCTTATTTCAACATAGACAATATTACTGGTTGGTTTATTTTAAAAATAAAAAAAAAAAATAATTTCCTATATCCAAATTTATTTCCATCTGTTTAATTTTAAATCGATTATTTTAGGAATCGTTAGAACCAGTCAAGTTATCGATTACGAGGAAACGAAGCAATTGGAGTTCACTGTTGTAGCTTATGATTCCGGGGTACCACAATTATCCGCAGCTGCTAAAGTGATCGTTACGGTTATTAACGTTAATGATCAGGATCCGAAATTTGAGAAAGAAGCTTACAACGCATCCATCAAGGAAAATTCACCACCGGGATCTCACGTTATTGTTGTTAAAGCTACCGACGGTGACGAGGGCTCCTTCGGTGAAATTATGTACAGTCTGATCGGTGATCATGCTGCCGATTTTAACATTGGTACGTGGAAATAATTACATAATTCTCGATTTAAACAAACAAAAAATAAAATCACAACAGTATCAACGAATTATCGAACTTTTTTTTTAATAGGACACGAAACTGGAGAAATAACTGTTGGCGGTGCTGCAGTACTTGACAGAGAAATTACACCAGAGATTGTAATAACAGTTATGGCCAGTGACAACGCTCATGTCAATTCTCGACGTAGTACATCGATTCCTGTTGTTGTTAAATTGATCGACGTTAACGACAATCGGCCAATATTTTCACAACACAGTTACAGAGCATCGGTTGCTGAAAATTTGTCCGTTAATCCTCCAGCTCCAATTCTACAGGTTTCATTATATAATTATATAATTTTGTAGTTTTAATTTAATCAATACATTTTTATTTATTCATTTATTTAATTAATTATTATTTAGGTGAGAGCTGTTGATCACGACGAAGGTGTTAACGGAGAAGTTTGGTATACTATCGTTCATGGAAATGAAAATGATTCTTTCTCGTTGAATCGAGAAACTGGTATTTTGTATCCAGCTGCAGCTTTGCTTGGTAGAGCTGGTTCTTACAGAATTGAAGTTGAAGCAAGAGATGGTGCTGGAAATGGACCACATTCTGATAGATGTTACGTTGATATTAGAGTCACACCAGTTAACACTCACAAACCACAATTCGTAATGCCTGAATTAACAAATGCAACTGTCGAGGTACCCGAGGTACGTGCATTAATATAATTTAAATGTATCTACATACGTTTGTAATAGATTAATTATGAAATTAATCTGTTTTACCACGATAAAATGCAAAATCATAAGAATAATTAATGTAGAAGATTAATGAATTTTAGAACGCCGGCGTACCGAATTATTTAATACTAACTGTGAAAGCTATCGATCGTGACCCTGGTGAAAATGGACGAATAAGTTATCATTTGAAAGTTGGAAATAAAAATGTTCAAGAAACCGAAGAATTTTCGATAGATCAAGAAACCGGTGAACTTCGATCGAAGATCATACTCGATCGTGAGATCAAAAGTAAATTTGAAGTAAGTTCTTTTTTTTTACAAATATAAATTACGAACAAATAAATAAAAATACGTATAAACATCATTAATTTTCATTTAAGCTTGTCCTAGTAGCAACCGATCATGGTACACCAACAGCCTACGAAGCTTTACGTCTTTTAACGGTTCAATTAGTCGACACTAACGACAACGTACCACAATTTTACGACGAATACAATTTCCAAATATCCGAGAACCGTCCTAAGGATTATTTTGTAGGTAAAGTAACTGCTCAGGATGAGGATGAAGGTAGACACGCTAAAGTTTACTATTACATAGAAGCAGGTTTGTAACAATCATTTAATTTTCAAAGACTGTATCAATAAATCACGTACTAATTGGTTTTTTTTTTTTTTATAATAATTCTAGGTAACGAAGGTTACGCATTTTACATGGATAAATCAGATGGTAGCATATACGCGAACAAATCATTCGATCGTGAGACAAGAGACAAGTATGTTCTATCCATTCTCGCATCCAACAATCCTGACCTATATATCAATCCAACGGAAGCAGGTCGTCCCTTATCACTAAGTTCAGATCATGGTCATGTTAACGTAACGATCTTGATCCTCGACGAAAATGATAATCCACCTATTTTCGAAAGAAACGATTATTATGCTGGAATTAATTCTATGGCTAACGTTAACGATTTCGTTACCAAAGTAGTTGCATCTGATTTGGATGTTGGTGACAATGGTACGCTTCATTATTACATAGCTGGTGCCAATTTGTATAAATATGGATCGGACAAGCCTAGTGGTTCGATAATACCAAGCCCATTTAATGTCACACAAGATGGTAAATTAATAACCAGTGGATATATGGCTGAATATAATCAGGATAGATTTATCGTTGAAGTTATAGCCAAAGAGACAGCCATTCCAGAGAGATACGCAATGACTCGAGTTCATGTAAGAAATTTTAATCACAATATTTATTGATATTTTCTTTCATTTTTGTTAATTATTATCTTTTTTTTTTTTATTTAGGTATGGGTATTCGAACCATCACAATTGATAAGAGTGATCTTATCACGACCACCGGAAGAAGTTAACAGACAACGTGATGAGATTGTTTCTGAATTATCGAATGCTACTCAAAGTAGAGTAGTTGTAGATGATATTAGATATCACGTAGATGCTTCTGGTCATATTAGAAGAGAATGGTAAGATGATTAATTATTTAATAATACATAGATATAATTATTCGTTTTTTTTTTTTTTATAATTGTATTATCGTTTTTAATTTAGGTGCGATATGTATTTGCACGTGGTAGAATTAAAAAGTCAAACGATAGCTCCAGTACCGCACGTTCTCAAAGTCATTGATGCCAAATACGATTTCTTAAAAGATTATTACGCCGGTTTTGCCATAGAAAACGTAGTGGTGAGTATTTTTTTACATTCTATACATATAACTGTATTATAAATTAAATAAAAACTAAAATAAATTAATTTGAATATTTCGTATTTTTCAGCCAGCTTATGCTGGAGTTCAAGAGGAACCTTTTGATCCTGCGTTAGCAGCTTTGATAGCTTTAATAGTTGTTTTACTAGTAGGTGCTGTTACAGTTACAGTAGTTTGTTGCTGTTTACGGCATTGGTGAGTTTTCAAAATTATATATATATCTTTTTTTAAAATAAAATAATTTTTATTCCACTTCAGGGTAATTACTGTGCCAAATGATATTCGTAAGAAGGATGGTTTGATAAAAAAACAAATAATCGATGAATTAAATACCACGGAAAATCCTTTATGGATCGAACAGTAAGAAATTAATTCTAACATATTTAAATATGTTCCAATAATTATTAATTTCTACAAAAAAAGAAAATTTTTGAATTTTATCGATTTACAGAAAATTAAAATTATACGAAGAGCAAGAATTAACGATGCAAGTATTTAGCGAACCCGAAGGTGGTCTTGGTTTGGAAAGACGTGGAAGTGGTGTAAGCCTTGGTATGGGTGATACATCTCAAGACAATACTTATGCTACTATTCAACACCCGTTACCAGCAAACAGGCATCGTTCTACTACTCCAGATTATACGACTCTTCCAGGAAATCATAATGTTTGTAAATTAATCTAAACGTTCGTCTATGATAATCGATTAAATTATTATCAAATTTATAATATTAATCACAATTATTGGTGTGTTTTGTTTTTTAAGGACGTAGGTATTTAATTCGTAAAATTATTATGCATTTATCATTTTTCCTTTAGTTATATGAATCGGCAATGGGATTTCAAGGTTCAACGTTTCAGCCATCGCCAAATGTAATGCCACAACTAACGCTGGACCGAGACGGCCAACCCCAATTTGTTTCAGGGCTAGTATAAAGATAAAATTAAAAAAAAAAAAAAATACCAAAACGAAAAAAAAAAGATGATACCTTGGCGCAAGAGAAAAAGAAAATAAAAAAAAAAGAGAAAACCCTTTTCATCTATACGTAATTATAAAAAAAAACAAAAAAGAAACAAAAAAAATCGCCGTACGTTGTACCTCTTTATCTACGGCTCTGTCTATTGCACGCGCCTCTTAACGAAAAACTAATTAAAAAAAAAAATTAAAAGGCTCGCATGCACACACCTCTGAGACAATAACAGAAGAATAGTTAAATGTGTTCCTTCGTGAACGGAGACGGGATATTATAATCGAATAAATTTGTTTGCGACAAATATAGACGCGTGTAAAAGAAGAGCAAGATATTTTTTGTTTTATATACCTATATTTTTTTTTCTCAATGTCCAATATAAATGATTTTACTTCATTTTGAAATTCGAGCTCATTCCATGACGACAGTATTAACGAGTAAAAAATTTTGATGGAATGGAGAGGAGGAATACGAGAAGGAGGAGGAGGAGGAGGAATATTTTGAAGGACAACGACGAATGATAGTCAATATATTAAAGGAGAAAAATATATCCTGTAGCCGGTGTGTGCATGTATATATGTGTGCGTTGCCAACCTGGAGTCCTATCTATAATTTATCGTTAGAATTTAGTATTAGGGAAATCAAAAATACTAGCTCATAGATCTTAAATGAAAATATTAAGGGGAATAAATAGATAGAAGACCGAAGCTTGGCACGACAGATATATGTATATAAATGAATGTGTAGATTCCGTCCAGCCCAGTTTTTATTATTATTATTATTATTATTATTAAAATTAATTATTATTATTGATCATTATTAATTTTTATATATATGGGGTGTTAGGTTTTTCCGGTCAAATGGTGTCAGTGTATTCTGCGGATGAAAATAAGGAAAAAATATTACACAAAAATAGGTCATTCTTAATGGATCTTTAAATGAAGCTTTAACCCTGACGCAATTCTGATGCAGCCCTGTATATATATACATATATATATATTACACACAAAATTTTTTAATTACTTTTAATATTTATATAGATATATATATCGTAAATTTATATGATATAGTTGTTTTTTAAGAGAGGTGGTATCGTTAGTTAAATGCCATATATATAAGTTACATCTTTTCATATTTTAACAAAATTTTAGGAGAGATTATGGAAATTAAAGTTTTTCGATTATACATATATACGTTCGTTCTATATATTTAGTATTATTATATACTAAGAATACTTATGCTACAAACCTCATATATATTTATATATATATATGTGTTTGTAGATGGCCCTAAAACTCATATCATCTAATCTATTATACATAAGTTATTTAAGTTGACATTAAATGACTGACATTGTCTGATTAATCTGTGATTTGATTATGCTCGAGTTAGTGTGTGCTGATTTGTTTTTAAGTAACCCGTATATAATATTATGGAAGTTACTGGAGATGGGCGGATATAGTTGTATGAATTAGATAAATGATATTGCTTGCAGTGAATTTCAGTAGAATCGAACTTAATTAAAAAATGAAAAAGAGTAAAAAAAAAAAAAAAGAAATTCATTCTACTCATGACATATATAATATCATCTTTCAAACATTCATTCAAAACCGTCCTTCTTCAATGCTAAGAAAATTAAAAAAAAAATATGCGCAGTTATCTTTGGATTTCACTGCAATCAATGGTCACCGTAAAATATATCTTATACTCCGAGAACGGTAACTTAACTTCGATCGAGTTATTTCTATGAACATGTACTGTAAAACTATTATCAGCATTATGATATTACTAGATGGTTATAAATATTCCAGTTAGCAAAAGTGTCTGTTTATTAATTACAAATTTATTGTAATATTGTAACATATTTTATGTAAGTGATTAATAAAAAATATTCGTACATCAAAGTTATTATACGATATTAGTGACTACAATTTATAGACTTCACGTCGTCCGGATTTACGTTGAGATTATTATCAGATTTGTTTTTTATCCTCATATTATTAGTAGATTCAGTCTTATTATCGTCCTTTACTTTACTTTTATCACAGTCGGTAGACTTTTTTTTAGGAAGAAAATGAAGTGTTTCAACGATTGCTTCCGGCTGTTCTATCCATAATTTGTATCCTTTTTTAGTAGGATACATTTTACTATTCAAACAGATCAAACAAGTCCATTTAACTCCTTTTACACGCTTAGAACATAATCTAACTCTAGCCGTCTCTCCAGGTATAAGAGGAGAATTACATTGTTTGCATACGGTTCTTTTTAAATTTGGCTCCCTATATAAAAAAATATGATAGATCCTTAATAGAATTAAAATATAATTCTAAATGTTTATATATTTATATATATAGCACCTACACTCGCAGCACAGCTTTCTTCGCACAACCCATCATCATACTTCCATAATAAGAAGCAGCAACTCTATTTTTTAACGATATCATATGACTAGCCTATAAAAAAAATATAAAAAGAAAAATGTTCGAATCTTTTAGGAATTACTGTTGAGTATTTCTTACCTGATACAAATAATTCATTCTCTCGAAAATATCTTTCCCTTGACAAAATTTTGCTTCCTTACCTGTAAATATTACACACGTATATATATATATAGAAATATTTATTTTTAATTATTAAAGAACAATTATTTAAATCTTACCCATTNAAATAAAATCACAATTAATATAATATATATATATATATATATATATATATGTGTGTGTGTGTGTGTTTGTGTGCGTACTGTAATTAAAACTTAAATCTCACAATTCTAACTTCAAAATTATAACCTTAAAAAACAGGGTATTCTATACGCGCATATAAGAATCGTTAAATAAAATATATATGAAATATATTAATTTTGCCACCAATATATAATATTGTTTTATATATTAAATATTATACATAGAAAAAACGTTTAATATAATAAAAAATGACAATTTACACACACAAAACTTGGTTTAATACTAGATGACTCTAGAATCGGATAACCTAGTCGTAAATTAGCGCTCGTATGATTCGTGGCGGTTTTATGTTCAAAACTTGAGTAACCTCAAATCTAGTTGCATGTATTACGAACTAATATTAATATACAATGTCAAGTTTAAATACTATTACTTTTGCACATGTTAAAAAGTTAGGTAAGCTTTTTGTAGTTACAAAAAATAATTGATATATTTTAAGGTTAACTTTTTTTTTGTGGAATTTTAAAAATAATATATTTAATTTTAGCGCACAGTATTGATGAGATTAGAGCAAGAGCATTAGAAAATATTATTTCTAAGTTAGATCTTGGCTTTGGATGTGATTCTGATGCTGTTAAAAAAGAATTGATTGTCAAACTATTTCATTGGTTTTCTTTTGACAACATACCTCATCCTCGAGAAGCTTTAGACTTGTTACATAGATTGATAAAGGTATACTAAATTTTTGTAATAGTAATAAATATTTATAAAGAATCTATATAACGTCATACATTGAATGTCTGTTAATTTCTTTAAGGGTGGAAATAACAATTACTTAAATGCATTTGGCAGATCACGCTTTCGAAACGAGTTAGATCAATTGAAAAGAAAACTTGACGATTCATGGCACGATAAGATTCATCAAATAGAACAAACTATTCTTAATCCAGATCAAGAAGAATCTGTCAGTGACAGATGTAATTATGAGGTAAAGAAATTATTTTATACGTTGATCTTTATACCACGTGAATATTTGATAATGATTTGTTGTAATTATTGTAGACGTTAGATCCTTCAAGAATACCATTGAAACAATCAGAGTATGTTACAAGAGTTCATAATTACGATAAGTATGGAAGTAGAGATTTTAACGCAGACACAATTAATGCTTCCAATAATATTGGTACTTTTATATCTCCATTGGACAGGTAAATACATATACTTGGTCTATCGATACACTTTTTGTATAATATCAATTTGTAAAAAATTATATATTAAATATAAATATTATGATTTTTTATTTAGTACATTGCCCGTGGATCTTACTGTTCAACAAGACAATGGTACACTTGTATCCAAGACAGTGGAGGGTGGAATAAAATGGTTAGTAATGCCATGGCAACCATTAGTCACATCAGATAAGGGTGTATTAGGAGCAGTGGAGGAAGCTTTAAATAACACGGCAGATACTAATCTAATATTACATACATGTCAGTTTATAACTAATGTCATGTTACAAGATTTTCCAGCCGAAGTTTTCCTTCAAAGGCCAGCAATAGTATCTGTGAATATTAATATTATTAATCTTTTTACGGATATTGTTTTTTTCTCACATTAATCTAAAAATATTTTTCTTTCTTTTTTTTCTAGGTGTTACATGCTCTACTCGATACAAGCATAAATATCATGGAGCCTGATATTAAATATATTATACCGGCTGTATTGAAAACATTGCACAAATTAACAAGGTGTCTACGATTTAGAATTTATTATTATTATGATCCTTGCGTGGCTAATAAAAAGCAAAAGGTAAAAGTAAATATCTGTTTATACTATTAACGTGTATGTGTATGTCTAATAATGATGCAACCCTGAACTGTTCGATAACTGATTACTCACTATATTATAATTTGTATTTTTTTTAGTTACTTACAGAAAAATTAGATAGTAATAGTTATTATTTATCGGAAGCTAGGGATAGTCCTGATGGAGGAATACCAGAAGCTAATTATCAAGCATATCAATCTGCTGTAAGTGGTTTTATTTTTTTAAACCATCATATATTTACTATAATTATAGATATTTTTCTTTAGGCTACAAGTGACAGAAGTGAAAGTATCATGGATAACGTAGATGAATCCGTATTACGGTTACAACAAATGCTTATTCCTACCTATTGTATCGAAACACTAAAACACGTTATTTCACAATTGAATATTCCTAACGATTCAACATTCCCATTAAAAAATAATAAATACATAGTTGACTTGATTCACGAATTAATGCAATTATTATTAATCACAGTCATGCCAAATATATGGATATGCAACGATAGTATGGCAAAAAAGATGAGTGACGAATTGAAAATGTTGTTAACATTACTAGGAGATTCTTTGGAATATTTTGGAAGTTACAGTAGTATAGATTATCATAGGATCACGTATCTTCATCTTCTTTGTATTACAGTCAACTTATTAAGTAATATTGTACCATTTGAAGTAGCCAATATTATTTTAACTAAGTCGATAAGAAATGCAATGTCTATTGCATTAATGGATGCTTCCATATATTTGATGTATCCAAAATTACACACTGCTCTTCAAATATACATTCAGGTAAATTTTATAAATTAAAACAATAATATTTTCTTTTTTGTTTATATTCAGTATTATATTTTTTATATATATAGCATTTAGAAGATTCAAACGAATTAGCGATAATCAAAGTCTTCGATGAAACTCGAGTTATCATCAAATCGATGCAAGCAGCTATTTGTTCGATAAAAGATTCCTCTAGAGGATCATATTCCGATACGTTAAAAACATTATACGCATCTAAACTAAGTTTGCCTTATCATAAAAATATGAGCATAGTTAAAAAGGCTATTAAATTTCTACAAAATATTAACAGGCATGTATTGATTAATAATCAAATATTTATTTGTCATATTTTAATAATCATGATAAATTTATTCACAGATATTCCGTCAGCAAAGAAGATCATCTAACATGCACGAAATTAATATTAAATTTATTAGCAAATGGAGATACAGATATTCAAGAAACTGCATACAAGGAGTGCCATAATTTAGTTAAAAGTATTTTAGGAATAGAATATAATAAAGAAAAACTTACTTGGGAAAACTTGATCTTCATTTTGGAACCAAGTGTTTTAACAGAGATCATTTGCTACGGTTTATCCAATGAAAATAAAAAAGTTAGCATGTATTATTTTAATTTTTATTAATTTATATGCATAACATTTTTATTAATTTTATTTATTAATATATTGTATATAGATTAGAGAAATGTCTGACGAGATAATAATTTATATATTGAAAGGAAAAGTGCAAGCGGATGAGACAGGATGGTTAAAAATATTAGAAACAATTATACCAGTATTACCACTTCTTCAATGTTACGCGCATTCATCTACAGTTATTGGAAGATGTATTACAAAAATGCTTGATCCTGATATTTTTAATAGTATACACTTACCATACCTCGAAGTATATTTATATTTTATTTATCATTTATATAAAATGTTTAATTATTTAAACATTATGTAATGTCACGTTTCAGGTTTTAAAAGGTAATTTAAGACTGTTGTATTCAGTTGAATATGATGTTAGAGAAGAAGCTTCTTGCAGATTGATTTGGTTACTCGGCAAAGAAAAAGATTCTATGAAAAAATTACCAAGATTATCTTCGTTGCATGGTCTACCTCTCAGTTCTCTTTGCATATTCGAACGTCCATCTGTTTTCAAACGCCTAGAAGGAAATTATCAGGTTCTACATTTAATCACATTTTTTTCTATTAAGATATAATATCTCTACAAATCAAATAACAATGAAATAATTATTTTAGAGAAGCAGTTTATTATCAGTGCTAGAAATGTTAAGAGATTCCGATGTTGATCCTAAAATGCGTAAATCTGCATTAGTGCAAATCAATGTTATGCTTACAGACATCTCCCTGCATAAATTATTCGTAAATGAAAATGGATTATCGTTAATCTTATATGCATTCAACAGTGCTTTGGTAAATACAATAATATTTTCTACATTTAAAAAACTATGACATTTATTTAATTGTATTTTTATGTGATGGATTATAGGTAGAAAATGATTATAAAAATTATCCTGATTCTGTAATCCCGATACTTGCGATATTAAAATTAATTATTGCGAGCGAATCGTCAGTGAGATATGAATTATCCACTAACGTTGACGTTTACATTAATATTATTCGTAGTACGTATACTATTTATTTCAATATTGTTAGTTTAATTATTTATTTTAATTGTTATTTAAATTTTTAGGTATCTTTTTATTTCCAAATAATGAATGCGTCAAGGCTGATGGATCGTATATTTTATGTTTACTTTTATACAATGATTATATTATTAGAATGAATGAAAAACACGTAGAAAGTAATGTTCAATTAACAATATCATTGCCTCACATTATTGTCATTAAAATGAGATTACCATTAATTTGTAAATCTCATTGGAAGATCAGTATACATAGAAGATCAGAAATATCAGGTGTATATATATAATAATTTAATATATTTAATATATTATTATAATAATTTGTATATATACTTATTATAGTTCTCCATGGAAGCAATCAAACGATACTAACATTTGTACGACAATATTGGGCATGGGAATGGAACGGTGGATGGAAAATGTTATGGAAAAATTACGACGACGTTAATGATTCTGAATTACCAGAAAAATTGAGAATACAAGATTACGAATTCTTTATTTTTCAATACAGTTGTTCATATTTTTATTGTCAAAAACAATTATACAATATACAAAATTCTACGACTCATGATGGGGTTTTAAATGCTTTGGATTATCTCATAATGTAAATTTTCTTTAATTAAACAAAAATTATACACATCTTCACATATATTTTTATAATAAAATATATTTATTAGGTATTTAAAATTTTACAACATGTTGAGATACGAAGAAATTAAGGATATTCATTCTTTGCCATGGGAACAAACGTTCGAAAGATTTTTATCGTCGCATCCGTCGAGTAAAGAAGATTGTGATCTATTCGTTAATATTATTAATTTTCTACAATTATTTATCGGCACGACAAAAGGTAATTAGTGCGTATAAAAACTAGGATGATTAAATTATTTAATTCTTAAGGTATAAATTATTACTGTAGGTAAAAGTTCATGGATCAGTAAGATGATAAAAAATATGACAAAATCATGGGCAGATTTATTTCAAAATTTGGAGATGGATAATCAAGATGTACATCAATCAATTTTGAAATTAGCACGCACTTGTGCAGCCATTGAAAGAAACGAAAAATCAGACATTAATCCGATGCATACGTGGATTCATTTTATCGAATTAGTTGTTTCTACTCTATGTTTTGGCAATCAACAACATTTTTACAATCTTGGTAAGAATATAACATTTTATTTTTACTTTCAAACTTATTCTAATTAATTTTTTGTTTTCTAGCATACTTGGATTGGCTGTTGACATGTTTAACATATTTAATAAATCAATGCGATTGGAGCAATCATAAAAATTTATTAGCATCCTTAGGAAACACACTAATCGAAATGATTATATCTTTTCATGGTGCTGGTACAGTCAGTTTCATGGGTTTATCTATAACCCGGAATTCTATCATTTGTCTCAATCATTTACTCTATCAAATGCACGCAAATTTTAATAAAAATGTACAAATATTTTCCTTAAATCAAACACGAAAAAAAATTATTTATTTAATTAAACTAATAATATATATGTCATTGTGTTTTTAGACGTGGATAGCATTTTGGTACGAAGATAGCAGATCTCTGAGTTGGTTGCCAATGCTTTGGCAAAACCGAGATCCTTTGGTACGTGCATCAGCATTGCAACTTTTATCAGGATTATTAAACGAAATGAATTCAGCGTCTCAAATTTCTAATGCTATTGCTGTTGCACCTAACGAATTATGTTACACGTTATTGCAATATATTATAATCAGAGAAGAATCTTGTATCGTTCGAGAACAAGCGTGTATCGCGTTCAGCAACTTAATTAAAAATTACAACTCCATGTCTTTTCAACACGTAAGAATGGCACATATAATTTAATAAATTTTTTTTATTAATAATTAATTAATTAATTAATTTTTTAATAGGTGGATTCGTTAAAAACAAATATCATATTAATATACACAGAACAAGTGAATTTTTATTACGAGATGAGCATATTGTATTCCAACATTTACGTTCTACCATCGTTAGATTTTGATTTGTTAAATAATCAACAACAAAAAGATGATAAAGTACCATCCATACAAGCTGCAACATCAGGAAACATTTCGTTAGTACCACGAACTGTTTCATATTTATACAATTGTCAGAATGAACTGTTACCATGTAAGCACTTCAACTATTTTATTTATATTAATTTGATTATATTTTTTATTACATGATATTTGTTATTTTGTTATGCAGTTTCCACGGTGGACTCTGAAAGTGTGGATATGGATAATTATTTGCAATCTATTGCAACTCCTGCTTTAGTAACAGCAAGTTGTACCCTTTTAAATAATTTAATACTTATCGGCCAGCAGGAAGTTGTACGTCACGTTTACGAACAATCATTGGATAAATATCTTATTGGAAATTTAAGAGAAATTCCACAAAATATTGATACTAAAAAAGATGTTATACACTATTGCGAGATTTTAGAAATGTATACCAGCATTTGTGTGGTCTTATCGAATTGCATCGTGCATAGCAATGAATTTGCTGCAGTTGCCAGTTTTACTTCGGATTGTATTTATTCTTTATTTAATCTTCTTCATAACGATTTGTACAGTAAGTATTATACAGGTATAATTTTGTGGTAAATAATTGGAACACCTTGTATGTAAAAACTAATGTTAATTCTTTTTAAATATTTTTACAGATATTCATATGTCACGTTTGATTTCTTTGTACAACAAATTAAAAGCAGAGATATACAATTTTTTATCAGTACTATCGTTAACAGATGATCAACACTTTGAATCTATTCAAACAGCTTTGGAATTACATGGTCCGGATAAAGCACTGACTTCTATTTGCACAGCAATAAAAGATTCTGATACAGAATTACGAATGAGTGCTATCGCATGTCTTACCTTTCTTCTTACTCAAGAAATTCAGAAAGAAACTTTAGGAAAGAATAATATTTCGATAAAGATGATCTTAGATAATATTATATATATTCCAAGAAATAATCAAAGTAACAAATTACAAGAAGTTATATCCAATGTTAACAAGCTTTCAATAAGAAGTATAAATTTGCATTCTAAAAAAACAAATAGAAATGACGAAACCGAGGATTACACCGTTAACTCGGATAATATTCAAATGAAATCAGACAACGAGCATCAGTGTACGATTGGTGCTGAATTATGTAAAGTTTTATTAGCTCTTTTTATTGCTCATAATTATACGAGATCAAAAAAAAATCGTAAACATATAGAAAATAGAGATCTCATTGTCAGTTCTCTGGCTAATTTATTATGCGTTTCTGTGGAAGCTAAAAAAGTTGCATTGAAAGAGAACTTATCGGAGACTGCGTTGATGATACTCAAAGAATTGTATGTCAAATTAAATCTACAACCGTTTGAACTTTACAAGAATCAAGTTGAGCGTGAAAAAAAGGTACACGTTTTTATATTTTCTCACGATATTTATTTATATTAATAATTAAAGAGAATCTAATTATTTCTTTTTTTCAGATTAATCCTCTGTTCAGTGATATAAACAATATTCTCATATTATTAATGAATTTTATGCATGAAAATTTACAAGTTAAAGAAACACTTACCAAAGATGGCTTAGCTGATGTGTTGCATAAATTGTGGGCTTGGATAGCTTTAAATAAAAATATTTCATCTTGTGCTTTAAAATTATTGGCAACGTTTACCACTAAATGTTCCGCTGGTATAAATTAAAAAATTACGTTTATTTTAATTTATGTAATATTTAACAAACATAAATATGTACGCAAGTGTTTTTTATTTTACAGCATCGCAATCTTTGACTTTAACTACAGTATTGCCAGGAGCAGGATTGAGAAAAACACCTAATACGATTGCTATAATACATATAATTATACAATTAATTTGTAAAGAGATCGATAAAGCTGGACACCTTTTTGATAACAATAAATTGCATTTTGCATTTCATGTATTACGAAATGCTGTTCACGTGCACGAATGCAGAGTTTCTATTTCAAAAGTATTTATTTGTTTTTACATCACTAATATCACTTATTAATTTAATTTAATTTAATTAATATTTTTTCAGAGTAATTTATTACAGTTTTTTACGAAGATTCATCCCGTTACCACAAAAAGAGTAAAACCTTGGCCCTTGGTAGAACTCTATTGTTTAGAATTTCTAATCGATTTTACATATTACGAGGAAGGACAAATTTGTGTACCTAAAGTAAAAAAATATATAATTATAATTTTAATTTTTTAATGCATGCACGAAAAAATTTGTATCGTCGTAGTACGTTTAATTTGTTAATTTATTTATTTTAGGCTGTAGATAGTTTAGATGCTTTGATACATTTAGCAAAATGTTCATCATCGCCAACAAAAATTTTAGCTATTTCTATTCTACGTAATTTAGCATTTAATATGACAAATAGGCCAAGAATTCTTAGCTCAGGTTTGTTTAAAAAATTGTTAGATTTAAAAATAGATATATTTATTAATTTAATAAGGTTTCTTAAATTTCTTTTTTATAGTGGATATAATCAATCTTCTTCACGACGTTTTTAAAAATGGATCATTATGTGAGATCAGAATAGCGGGATCAATGTTATGGTCGTTAATATGTAACAATCAAAAAGGAAAATTAATAGCACGAACTGCTGGATTTTCACAAAGTATACAAGAAGCGTTAGGTAGATTAACGTTATTAACAACAAATAACGTGGAACAAGAGCAAGATGTTGTTAAAATATTGGAATATGTGATACGTTTAATAAGTCCTATCGAGAATAAGTCTGATTAATTAAATAATAAGAATTTCTCACAACTAATTGTTATATAAAATCTATATATATATTATATATTTATAAATATTTATAATTATTCCATTAGAAATATTTTTAGATAAAAGTTTATATAAATTTAGGTATGAATTATTGTAAATATGCCTAAATTTTTAATATGCATATTTTACAAGTAATGTAAATTATTAGAAAATGATTGTTAAAAATATGATTATTATTGTTTAAATAGAAACATTTTTGTTCCTTAGAAACAGCCTAAAAACGAAGTTACATATACAGTTGACAAGTTGTATACGAAGAAAAAATGTTAATTTAATACACGTTCGAATAGAAAAAATGAAAGTTAGTATATACGAAGGTGGGTTGAAAAGTTTAGAGCCTCAACGAAACTTATTCATCCATCTACATATATACATATAAATAATTAATATAGTTTATTCATATTTTTAACTTTATTTCAAAATTGTCAAAATTTTTATATTAAACAAAAGTTTTGAATAGTGCGCGCGAAAAAAGAAGAATCAGAGATACCATAGGAAGATAAGATTTGATAAAATAATCGAAGAATATAGAAGTACATAGAAGTTCATAAGTCCACTGATCGCGTAATTAAAATCATCTTAGTTAGTACCGAGACCACCAATGAGCGAGAGTTGATACTTAACGCGATCACGGTACAATACTATCAAAAAAATACAATATTCTTTGATAGTATTGTACCGTGATCGTGTTAAGTATCAACTCATCAAAAAAATACAATATTCTTTGATAGTATTGTACCGTGATCGCGTTAAGTATCAACTCTCGCCCACTGGTGGTCCCGGTACTAACTAAGATGATTTTAGTTACGCGAACAGTGGACTTATGATCTTCTATGTACTTTTATATGCTTTGAAATTATCGTCTCTCGAATTCTCGAAAGATCGATGCTATCGACGCATCGATAAGGATAGGAATTGGGTAGTTGATGGCGCCACTATCAACTACAACGACGGTGGTTTTTACTATGGCCGACAAGGAACGTGCCGTGCTTTTGAAGCTCGTGTACGACGAGGACGATTTATTGGGCTGACAACACCCGTTGTAATTTGTGATCATTGAAATTTAGTTTGATTAATAAATCGTGCGTGAGATTATGGATCATTGAAGGTGCGTGAACAAAGTATTTTATATCATTTTGTAGTGATCGAAGAAGGAGAGAAAGAAAGAAGAAAATAGAATAGAGAGATAGAAAGAAGGAGAAAGAAGAAAGGAAGGAATGGAGAAACGTCGGTTTATCTCTCTCCTTTGGGGGTGTTTAGTGATTTTCAAAGAATATCAGTGCTTTTATTAAACGACGACATACGTGAATACATAACCTTTTTCGTGCAACATAAGAAGATCAATCGAAAAAGAAGTATTATCGTATTGGTCAATCGAAAATGACTACAGCCGGTAAATGAGCGAGCTGACGAATGAGAGAGTGAGAGAGAGTGATATAGGATCGTGCGAGTTGAAGGGAGAAAACGCCCCCGTTTCTCGCGTATTATATTCTCTCTATCTCTATCTCTATCTATCTTTCTTTCTCTCTTTCTTTCTTAAAGCTTCGAACACGACCGCGCGAGATACGCCCCTCCTCGTGCGTGCCAACTTCAACTTTTTGAGTGGGGGAAAGAGACTTAACTTTAAACATGATCGACTCTTTCTATTTACCATTATCGATACCATTTTCTTTTGTCAAATTTACTTTGCGCGCTCATATTTCGCACCTCTTTCTATTTTTCATCTCTTATTTTTCTCTCTTTCTTGCCTTTCTCTCTTTCTTTTTCTTTCTCTTTCCATCGTTTGCACGCTTCGCGCGCTCTTCTTCTTCTCGCACGCTAATCAGCAACATGCGATTCAACCTCTTTAGTCATACATATATGTTTATTAAATTTTTGAAAAATCTTATTGGTTGATTTTGAAAGATAATTTGATCGAGAAAAGAAATAATTTTTTTGTTCTTCTTTTTTCTACTAATTAATTTTTATAATAATTTCGATCTTGAAAAAGAAATGTACGCGTAAATTATTATAATATCATTATTTTATTTAATATATTATATCTAGTATTATATAGAAGATATAATAATCCTGACATCTGTCGAAAATCGGAGGAAACTTTTGGAACAATCCAAACTTGTAATACGTAGTGTCTCTCTCTCTCTCTCTCTCTCTCTCTCTTTCTCTCTGTACGTACGTATATTCGTAAGCCCGGGTCGTATGCGTTTTTGTTGGTGTGTGGGTGGTAGTGGTTCGCACAATTTTGTTAGAAAGATACCCGTGTACGTTTCTCTCGTTTGTTCGCGGCCGTTTTAACGTTTCTCCTTAACGCGCGCACACCGTGTAAAATCGATAGAGGGATAGAAGAGGTGCGTGGAGAAAAGGCTATCACCAGATAGGAAGAGAAAGAAAGAAAGGGAAAGAGATGGAAAAAGAAGCACGTCGCCGACGAAAATAGCGATGATCCTCGCGAATCTTGTCTCCTCTTCCAATATCTTCCCCCTCTTTTTCTCTCTTTTTCTTTCTCTCTCTTACTTTCACTCCTTCGATCTAAAAATCATTTCATTAAAAAAAATTATCTTTCATTTTCATCTTATTCAAATTTAAAGATAACGTAGATGGTTTCGTGTAAAAAAAGAAGGGCAAAGTTACACACACAGAGAAGGGAAACATCAAAATTGGTTAATCAGTGTTCGTCTTCGTAAATTAAATAAAAAAAAATTGAGTCGAGTGTGTTATGACGAGGACAAGGACCGGTGCAAACGGTTGTTCATCATTATTGTCGTCTTTATTGTCATCCTTTCGTGGAAAAAAGAAAAAGTTCGTGTCGGATGCAGTGATATTTAATATCAGACAGTAGGAACATTGAATGTTGTGCGCGATCTCGCGCTTCTTCGCTGAGACCAAAGCAGCGGAAGCGGTGTCGAGGACGAGGGTGAAGGAAGACGAGGAAGAGGAGGAGGAGGAAGGAGAAGAGGTGGAGGAGGAGGAGGAGGGAGGAAGGATTCGACGACCTGCAACGGCCTGGCCGACAGGGTCGTCCATGGTTTCGACGACATGGATCGCAACGCGGGTGACGATCGACGTAAAGGACCCGCTGGCGAGCAACAACAACAACAACTATTACAACAGTATCAACTCGCTGGGGGTGATGCCGAACATTTCTCCGACGCCTACAACTCGCGACAGGTTAGTATCATCATTTTATTTATCTTCTTTTTATTTCGTTTCAGTCATTTTGATATATCTTTACACATATCTTTAAATTAGGTTAATTTTTAATAATAATATTTGTAGATACAAATTGCGTCATCTTATTATATTCAATGATTTTTTGTTTTCTTCTCTCTTTTCTACGTATTTGTAAAGATTAAGTAGTAAGCATCTTTATCGGGTAAAAGGGGTTGAATAGGAGCTGGCAGTTTGTAATGTACGGTGGCACGAAGCAGAATCTCTCGCTCGTTTTCTACGAAATCGTATATTATCGTAATCGATCTTTATATCGTTATTATATTCATGAGAATAGTTTGCAATTGCATTCAAAATGTTGTTGTTGTTTGTTTGTTTTTTTTTTTTTTTCGTGTAATGAGGATAAATGATTAAATGTATTTATTGGATAACTCGTTTTCGCAATTGCAACTGCTATTGGAAAAGAGTGAAAGCAGCTAGTTAACCCGCTTTCGATTCATACTCCAGATCTTTGACCGTTTATCGATCACCCGGAGATCGATCTACCGTCGAGAAACATCAGGATTACGGTGGCACGAATGTTTTTTTTTACTTTGCCAATAAAAAGGAAAATACTTAAATACAAGCTACAAGTAATTGTATACTTGTGTGTGTGTACGTTAAAATGAATTAATGAAGTATTTATATGTTACTTTTGAACTTGAAATTTAGGCAACCTTTGTTGGATTTAATTACGTAAAAACCATGCTCGCCAGGAGAAGATCCACATGAAATTTAATTTAATAGGACGAAACGTTGTTTCTTGTTAGTTTAAAATCTCATACGGAAACAATTCGATTGTTAATCGTCTATGGAACGGATAAAAAAAAAAGGGAAGAAGGTTAGGAAGAAAGATAAAGACAGAAGTAATCACGTGGTCTTTTCATACAGAGACGGTAGTAAAGCTATTCCCGAGCTGTGACGCTATGACGAATATGGCGTTCGTTTCCTGTGTGCACAAGGTTATATATTGCGAACGACAAAATGAATGTTATATACCTGTACTGCTGCTCCTAGTCTTTTTAAATGTCGAGTTATAACCACCAAGGAGACTTAATTCTTCCTCGTAAAAAAATAAAATAATTTTCTTGTTTTGTATTATTCTTTTTAAACTCGATTAACAAAGTCAAACAATGAGTTTTCTATTCGACCGCCATTTTTGTTTCGCGGGAAATACGAATATTTCTTTGGGAACTTGGAACGAATAAACAATCGATACTCGAACGTCACAGCGACCTCCTTGACGATTTCTTTTCCTTCTTCTTTTTATTCTTCTTCTTCTTTCAATGCTTTGGCATTCGTTCAATGCTAAAGACGCTGTTTATTCTTTCATTTATTCCTTTTGCAAAAGTTATCGAGAGAATTTTAGTATTTTTGTAGGAGAAAGCTTTAGGCGTTTATTTCGACGGAAGGAAAAGTGTCCCCGAGGTAGAAACTAATAACTAAACTAAACTTAACTAACTCCTGTACTAATTGAAAGTTACTTTGTTATCTCTATCTTGCGAACTTTACAAACTTATATCGGAAACCAAATTATAATGTATTAGATTTGTTCGAAAAGAAATTTCCGTTTTTTGGCAACAAAGATTTCGTTAAATTACGTTTGTCGATATCAAGGTTTACTTTGAATCTCAAAATCTTCGTTTATTTATTATTTAAAAATGAAAAAAACTAAATAACATCCCAATAACAACAGCATAATATTAACGCGTTGATAAATACCCCTTCAATTAGATTTTTATTAATTATTTGAAAAAGAATAAAAAAAAAAAAAGAAATG